CATTATAAATCACGGCTCTGACTTCCAGGGACACTCTACTTCAAGCCAAGTTCCCCAAAGAATGCTCATAAAAGTTTGTGTGCTTGACATCAGTGTAAGCATCTGGGCTCCAAGCCTGTGAAGGCACTCTGCATCTCAATTTTAGGATCAGGACCTGTATTTCTTAGATTATTCAGAGCATACACTATTTAATAGAGAAACTAATAGCTGAAGGGATGCTTTAACTAAGTTTGCAGTTATTCTGTTCTTTCTACTCCATCTATAATTGATAATAAATTGCAATATTCCCATACTTTAGTCCCAACATACTTACTGAAGGTTTCCATTGAGACTATTAGGACTACTACTAGAGGGGTATCCATTTTAACGAAAAGTTATTTTTTCCACAGGCACGAAAGGACTTAAGGGGTCATCCCAGAACAGTTAAGGAGAAAGATTTAACTCCATATTCTTTAGCTTCCTTTGCTGAGGGCAGCAAATATTTTATCTACAGAGAGCACAACTAGTGATAATCACCACACTGAAATCTGCAACCATTATGTGTGTACTTACGTGTTGGTTAATTCAGAATTGCTGTGTTATTCTTTTATCATCATTTCTCCCAAGGGATCAGTACCAAGATGACATCTCCTGATCCATTTCTTACAGGAGAGAGCTTTCCTATATACAGAAAAGGTTAATACAAATGGACAAAGATTTGAGACTTTGTGATAAATGCAGGTTTGTGTGTCTGCTGCTTCTGGAACAAAAGAATCAGTTTGCTAGTAAGAAATATACTCAAATCAGTCATTTATTGTAACATTAAAGGGCTGCCTTTGCACAGCCTTTCTGAATCTGCTTCCAGTCAGATCGAGGACTGACAAAGCTACGCACAATCCAAAAAGATATAAAACTGAGGCATGTTTTTGAAATTAAAAAAAAAAAGGTCCTTCCTACCATTTTCAGTTATGTACTAGCTGTAACCTGTGTCTAGTAACAGAAAACCAGTTTTAAAGAAATACTGTAAAAATTACCCCAACAATGTGGCATCACTACTATAAGATAGAGATTTTTATTCTGAGTTTTAGAAGATGAAAGCTTTGTTTTCCTGGCCACTCATTCTGTTGCTATGTAAAGACAAACACAAATCAATGTCTTAAACTTGATGACAGAAATAAGCTCTATATAAAGCTAAACACATTTTAACAGTGAGAGCAAACTGAACAGTTTCCTCTTATACATTTCTAAACTAAGCCATTGAAATATATTACTATACCTTTAAAGAGGCTTTATATATAATGTAAGAATATATACAGCTTTTCACTAGAGTTATCATTACAGTATATATCTTCAACAAAGCAAAGACTTTGGAGATTAAACAAAGACTTAGGGAATACAGAAAAAAAAATAATTGAAAGAATGTTACAATTTTTACCTGTAAAACAAGCCAAGAAAACTTAATCAAGCTTTAACTACAACAACCAATTTCTGGAGCCTATACCTTTATCTTTGTGCTAACCATTTGACCATCCTTACAAAATAATAAATAAAATTAAGCCTAGAGCACCAAGTTTATTTGTCTTTATTTGTTGAGACTGGTGTAAATCAAAACACTTCCACTCCACCACATTCTGTTCTGACTGTCAAGTGCCAATATAGCCCTAGGGTCCCAGGAGTTAGCATTCAGGAACAGCTCCTGGTAGCTTTATATTACTTGTGCTGGGAGTTCCTTGGAGTTTCTAATTAGGCTGAGCAAGGAATTGTTGTTACTTGCTAAACTCCAGTTTTCATAAGCATTTTTTCCTCGTGTGTATGGTTTGTCTGACAGTGGAACTCTGTCAACAATTTTTTACCTGAGATGTACCAAACGGACTTGTAGAAAATTATGCTTTCATCCTATTTATTTTCTTTTGAACTAATGTATGTTTTGGTGAAAGACAAGCTTAAAATATGCCCTAGACATCTGGAGAATGCGAAGGTTGGTGACTGTGATGGTCCTGGTCTCTCAGGAGAAATTCCTATGTAGAGCTGGAGCTGCCCTGGGAAAGGTCTTTTTTCTGCACCACTGAGGTCTAATGCTGGTCCTGCTGCCTGCATCGTTACATTTGATACGCAATTTTCCTGAAGAGCTCAAAGCAAAGTGAAGACTGTAAGTTTTGTAAGACATACATACAGTAAAAAACTTGCTATGTTATATGGCTTTTGAAGCTTTGTAGCTCTCCTGATATCATTCTGATCACGTGAAAAGGCATTTAAGCGTGAATAAATGATCTAAAGTTTCCAAGGTGAGATAGGGCTGCCTATCTTACTCGATATACATATCTAGTAAGACAGTCCTGCCTATCTTATTAGATATACGTATCTAGGAATACCATCTCTTCCCTCATTGCTCAAGGAGAGGGCTCAAGCCCAACTTATTTACAGCGACAGGGAATTGCAGTGAAAGTCAGGTTGGGACTAAAAACAATTAAGAGAGAGTAAGAGAGAGAATCAGATGAGATAGGGAGAAAACTTATTTTGTAGATAAAGGAGGAAAAAACATTCTGCACAATCAACAGAAGCAGATGGCTGGCTGGTTAGATCAGGCAACTTCCCATTTCCAGGATGGTTGAGTCATTAAAAGACCTGAGGGACAACTTCACAGTTAGGTGTCATCACAATTTATATTCTGCTACTTTTAGGCTTCTCCTCTGTAATTTTATTTTCAAATAATTGTTGCTAGACTGCCTTTGTTTTCTGTTTAAGCCTGCCTGGTCCTACGAAGGATTCCAGTTAGCTCTAGCAGGCATGAGGTATGCTGTTTAATTTGGAAACATCAAATCTAATTAAAATGGTAGTGCAGATATAATGCCCTTGGGTGCCTGCAATCCAAAGCATATCTGGGATGCTGGGAGATGGGATAATTTCTCGTGTAAAGGTCATTTTGGGGACTACTGGTATCACCTTCCAAGGCACAGAGAAGCCAGATGTTAATAATGCCCTCAAGCGAGGGACAGAAAGTGGAGAGATAACCAGTGACATCAGGAAGCCCTAGACTGTCATCATCTAACACCAAATACTAATTGTTAGTGACTGTTTGACTGCTCCAGTAGGCATAGTTTACCCAAACTGTAGAATAACTTACTTCCTTTGCTCATGAGTCAGGTTCCAGCCCGTACACAATTTCCCCTGATGCCAGCCCCGCAGTGGGGACTGAAGCGCCCAGACCTGAACACAGTGCTCAAGTGATGGCCAGCCCCGAGGCGTACAGGGCACCAGCCCTCCTTGGCACTGACGTCCTACCTGCACCCTCAGTACTTCTCCAGACTACTCCTTTTATTTTTTCTGTGCCACATTGATGTTCATTACACTGTTCAGCTTTTTCTTCAATAGTGGAGTTTCCCAAGCTCCTACTTACCTCTTGACAAGATTATTTTCTCAGATCTATTGATTTATATTTTCCAAAACTACATTTTCCTTCTTTTATTTCTTTTTAGATCTGCTTCTAGTCACTTTGCAACCATTCCCAATGTACCATAAATGTTAAGATTTCATTATTTTTCTGTTTTCTTTGTCTAAATATTTATTAAAGTTAAGTTTGACTCTGCATCACAGCATCTATGTTTCCTGTCTCTTAGAGAACTTGCAGTCTGTCTATAGTGCTCCTATGCAACTAGTGATAACTCCTGAATCATGAGATTATATTCTGTATGCACTCCTATAATCTGTCACAAAACTAGAGAAATTCTTAATACCCAAACAGGTATCTAATTGGTTTTTTAATTCTTTTAGCCTTTTGGTTTCAATTATATGAGACAGAGCACTTTAGAAGCTATTTATATTCTGTGATAATGAGTGGTATTTTGTTCAGTTGTAAATATGTTGCCTTGAAGTTTCAGTTGATCTTTTGTAGTCCTGTACTGGCAGGCAAGACAATGGGACAGCTTGACACGCTTGCTTCGGTACCATACACAATTTCACATTTTTTCTGTCCCTCCTTAATTACCTTATCTCTAGACTGCACACATGCACAGCCACATTAAAAGCAGATGATGTTACTTGCATAAAAATGCTAAAATTTGTTATTCACGTTTATTGAAGCCAAATGAGTGCTGGACAAAGCTGATGCCTCGGATAAACATTGTGTGTAAAGAGGAAATGGGCTTTCCAATAGCAGCTGTAGAGCCTAAAGCCTCAGGTTGAGGTGTGTTAATAACAATCAATCTGTTAGTACTTAGACAGTTTTCAATATCTAATGAAGACATGGCTTTTTTTGCTTAGCATGTATTTTCAGATCTATTTGATTAATTATTGTTTTCAATCTACTGCTACATTTGCCTTAATGAGATTAACTTATTAAAAGCCATAGTTGAATGAATAAACTAATTAATTCACATGCTCTGTTCTTTAGACATATAACAATTATTTTGAAATGTTCTCAGAGAAAAAAATCTACTGCACTGGAGAAACAAAGCTTTTATTACAAAATTTGTTGCAAATCATTTAGCACTTGAATCCCTCTACTGATGAACAGGAGTCTGATCTGAGTCTGAGTCTCTAGTTTATTCTGTTAATAAATTAAGGCCATTATCCTGTTAAGTCAACATAATTACACATCTTGTTATGAGGCTAAAAGTCTGCAAACTAGATTCTGTTCTAGAAGACAAGGGATATGTATAGAGAAAAAGACAGTGTAAATCTTGCAGTCCTAGTACAAATAGGCAAAGAATATGTGAAATTAATTATTAGAACTTCAATTTAAAAGCAGGGAAGCTGAGATATAGAAAGCTGTCCAAATCAAATTATATTGTAAGTCTGCAGTAAAGAAATTAAAATATTTCTTGAACTGCACAGATGTGGTGAAAACATTTCACTTTGATGTGACTAGGCTACCTCTAATTTCCAATATTCAGCTGAGAGACACATTTATGTTGCTAATGAACTCGTACTCCAGGATAAAAGGAGTATGTGCAACATATAAACATGTCAAACAGTTCCAGCTGAAAATGCAACTCTGGCAGCAAAACTTATAGGCTGAGAGGTTTTTTTCTGCAGTTTATTTTGGGGGGCGATTTTGGAGTCCTTCTGGGTTGTTTCTAACCCCAGCCTTTTGGATGTTTCAGGGAGAAATGGATGCAGTGTTGCAACTGAAACGAGCATGTTTGCCAACTTACGTGTATTCAGAGAAAGACAGCTGGGAGGAAGCCTCTCTCTTTTTCATTAAGGGGTCAAATTAGAACTGATTTTATTTAATGTCTACAAAAGCATTGGAAATTGGCAAGTCTGGACACCCACACTTTCTATTTACATATGGAAATGTTCATTCCTCTTCTGTGCTTCTCACCCATCATTTGTGAGAAGGTGACCCATGAGGGTGCTAAATCACTACTACTAGTGAGATAAATTGTCTGAGCAATAATCCGAATTAAGAATAATTAAGATGTACCACAAATACTTCCAGATCTTGAAAAAACCCACACCCCGCTTCATAAAACTATCAAGGTACTTTTCAAGAAACATTTTCTGTGTAGAAGTAGGTTACTGAGTGTGGGAGAAACACTGAACCACATTTGTTCCAGTGAGCATACTAATAAACAGCCATATATGACCCAAATTCATCTGGATCTCACACCTTTACTACTGTCTTTCTTGGGCCTGGTCTTACTTCTTCATTGTGAGAGATGAGAAACCAGGCCTGCGAGAAACTAAGAAAAACGGCCTGGGAAAGCAAAAGTTGAGGCTGATGGAAGAAATGCCTCAAACACTCACAAGACAAAACTGAGTCACAGGGTGCTTTCTGTGGAGGTGGAAGCTGATAACGCTGCCTGAATAACACCAGATGCACTGAAGGGGGGAGCCCTGTGAAGACAGGACAGCCCTCCTCTGGGGCACCCGGGCAAATTTCAAGGGCCATGTGTCTGGTGAATGAACTTTGCTTCATTATCCACGAAATGCATATTAAAGTTCACACCCCTCAATATGCTAACGAAGGCTAACATGATCATGCTAATTACACCATCCCATGAAACACCTTACCCCTCCCTGTACATGGGATACATAGGTATGTGGGTCAACCTAGGGGATGGACCTGAGGAAAGTGGGTATAAATCAAGGGGGGGAAGAAAGGGGGGGCCTGGAGAGAGCAGTGAAGCAAAAAAGACAGCCGCGTCCTGGAACCCTCACCGGTGGGATCAGCGCAGGAACCCAGACCGGCGATATGTATTTCCCCATTCCCTCTATGTCTCTCTTTTCCTTTTTCCATTAAGGAAGGCAAGGCATGTTGTATTGCTTGCCACGACTTGCTCTATACTTAGCCAATTATCGTGTGTTCAATTAGTACGTTGTGGGTAGTTAATAAATGCTTGGACTTGGAGACTTGTCCGCTCCATTGGGGATTTGTGAATCTGAGTCACCTGTCCCCCTCGTCTGAGCGGGACGTGACATTCATGTTTATGGTAGACATTCTGCAACACGCCAGTAGAAACATCCATCCTGATGAAATGACACCAGAGGTCTGGAGATGTAAGCAAGCCATGTTCAGTATATATCTGAAAGTTTGGGAAAAGCTTAACAATAGTGTTCCTTGGAAGAATCTGCTGGTTATGATATTACTGCTCTGCTCTACTCCACTCCTGTATTTCTGTAATTCACCAAAACCATATTTAGCCCTCTGAGCTGTCACAGCCATCAATCTTCAAATACTTCAAGCTCATTCAAAAGAATTGGTTTTGAAAATAGTAATCAGAGTTGACATCTGCATTGCAATGACATCTTAGTCTGTTTTGGAGGTCAGAGAGGCAAACTAGCAGGCTCTTTTTCCAGATTAAGGTTTGGAAAGGTCTCAGTCCTCTGCTTAACGACTAAATATTGTCTTAGTGCTAAAGACAGTCACACACATATACATATGTATATATATAGATGTATGCTTTCAGAGAAAAAAAAAATTCTACAGCCACAACATTGTTTTAAGAATAATATTTTGTTAATCCTTATGGTGGAGTAACAAAGCATTAGTCACAGTTTTCCATATCAAAAGCACTTCCAGAAACAAAATCCACAAAGTATCCACAAAGCACACACAAAGTTGAATTCTAGTTCCTCCAGCAGGGTTATATACTGAATGTCTTAATGAATGCCAGGTACAAAATACCTGCCCACAGCTGCCTTCCTTTCCCAGCTAACAGCTGTGTTGGAGCAGCATCAAAGCTGGCTACAGGCATAGTAAATGTATGCACCTGCATCAAGTAATTACCGAAGCTAATGCCAGTATGTATTAGGTTCAGTGCTCTTGTGAAAAAAGTATGGATTAACTCACAGCATTCAGCTTATTATAGCTGTCTCACTGCACATCCAGTTTTTATGAGCACTTATAAAGCAATATCCATCTATGTTCCCTTTTTATTTCTGATGATGGAGTCCTTCAGCTGTGACATTGGAGTGTACTTCAAAGCTACTCCTTTGTCTGCTTTTCTCCCTTTTTTTTTTTTTTTTACTTTAAATCCAGGTTACTGGTCATGTCCTGCCACCACACATACACCTACTGATATATTTGCAACTTTTATTTAATATTTACTTTTTAGTGTCTTAATACAGGTTTCTTCCTCATCATCTGGCACCAGTGGGAAGACTGAACAGCCCTAAAAGACAATTTAGGGATCACTTCTAAAAATCAAAATGGCTTTGACAATCAGTGCTGTCTGCAGTGGGTATCCATCTAATGAGAACTATATTTAGACACTCCTGATTTTTGATCAGTATTATCCTATGTTGGAATAAATCTGGAAACATAGGAATGAAATGCTGCTACTTCTGTAACCATTCTCTTGAGCTGTCCCCAAAACCACTTAAAATTATTTTTATAGTGAAGGTACAGTTTTCTGTGAAAATGGAGTAAAGATAAAAATACATTTGAGCTCTTATGCCGTGCCTGTGCTGTGTATGCCTGTTTTGTCTAGACTGTGAGCAATGAGAACCAGACACCATCTGAAATGTTAATTTAGTTTATTAAGGAAATGAGGCTTATATGATCCTGGTATCTGTCTGTGTCAATGACTTTTGAACTCATATGATTCCAAGCTAATGTGACAGAAGTGGGGGAACAACAAGATGATTAAACTACTACAAGTTTTGTGAAAATTAGAGGTTGGATAGAAGAGAGAGAGCTATAAATGCCCTGAAAGCCTGCTGCAAGAATAGACATGTAGGCTGAGATTAAAGAATCCATACAGAAAAGATGCAGGAAAAAAACCCTTAGAATCTGAAATTGCAGTTGGTCAAGAAATATAAACAAATGGCAACCCAAGCTTTATTAGTCTGATACCTAGGGAATTAGTCTGCTTATCTGACAAAAACCAGAAGTGCATCCTGCAATGCACAGGAGGAACTAACACTAGAGCGTGACAGGGATCAGATTGTCTTGATGCTGGGCTGGGGATCAGCTACAGAGGCTGGAGTGGGCAACTTGCAGAGCTGGCACAGCTTGGAACAGACAGCAAGCTGCATGAATGCTGTGTGAAAACACAGTCTTTAAGTGCACTCACTTGGATTTGGCTGCCAAAAGTTTAGGAACTACAAGGGCATAAGGCAGCCTGTGACAAAAGTAGTTCTTTCGATCAGAGGTGACTTGAATACCCAATGTTTCACTGCAGGGCTGCAGAAAAGAAGAGATGCCAGGTTCCCTGCTGCAAGGAAGACAATTAATCTATTTTTAGAAGACTCTTCTCCTAGACGGGTGAAAGGAAGAGCATAACTTAAGAATTTGCCCCTGGAACTGTAATTCATAGTGACACTGTACTAGAAGAGCAGTGCTGTGAGTTCAAGCAGATACACTATATTTTACACAGAGCATGTGTGATGGGACCAGGAAGACAGAGAAAGATCTGAGAAACATGTAGGTGCATTTCTTTTTGGTACTATAAGTATCTCTGAGCTGTTATTCTTTTTTGTGCTCAGTCTCTCCCTGTTTTCAGCCCCAAAGTTCAGGGATGCTCTGAAGTTATACTGCACTTAGCTTAAGGCTGAACACATGGCAGAGTCAGCTGCTTTCTGTCTACCTTCCTTCTCCTTGGGGAGCTCTGTTCCACTTCCAGCAGAGAAGGGAGCCCTTCCTCTGAAGATGGAGAAGATCTAACTCCAGGAACAAAAAATTTAGCTGGGCATACACTGACAGTGTTGTGCCCGGCTTGCAAAGTAGCTCATTAGCCCCAAAAAAAGAGGTTTCCTAGGTGTCACATGAAAAATGCAGCTGTGTCCTCTGCAACTGCTAACAGTATAATAATAATTGTCATGTAGCAGACTCTGATTGTTATTTTCTGGTACATGGAGCTCACTGTTTCATTCTGTCAGCCAGTTGCTGCTTTGGAAGTTGTCTAGACAGGGAATGATTTTATATATAGTTAATTCATTTTCTACCTGTAATGAAAACTAGCTCAGCTGCATGCTGCCCCACATCTGCTTCTAAGCCCTCTGCCGACACCACGTCCAGCAGACCACCTGGTTTGTAACCAGGGTTTTTTATTCCATCAGTCAGGAGAGGGCACTGTTAAACATGGTCTCCCTCTCCTCTACACGACAGGTTGCCTTGAGGAGTATTACAGAGTTTGTAATATCTTAATGTCTTGGAGCTGTGGCAAACAGATACACTTTTTAAAGTTATACTTTAGGCCTACCTCATCTGGTGGTGTAAGATGCTGACAACAGGATATATTAATTGTGTATTTACTAATAAGGAACATGATTACTGTAATTTACTCTTTGCTTTGCAATTGCATTAAAGGAACAAGAATTTGTCTCGTGTAGTTCCTAGCCCTGCACCCAGATTCTAGGCATCCCTCAACCTTTCCTGGGGAGGGGATGGAAGAAGCGGGTATAAAGCGCCTATCACCATATTGATAAACATTCTTTGGAACCACTCTGATACCAGAGGTAAGAAACAAAATTTAAGCCAGCACAAATTACTCTTCTTATTTAGAAAAGCCGTTATGTGTTGCTTACTGCATGGTGGCTGTGCTACTCTGGAAAGTACCAGGTAGGTGGCAGAGGGCAGCCTCTATGCCCAACTCTTCGTAGCGTGACGTAGTCAAACCTGACATCCTACAGTACCCCTCTGTTAAAGCTTGTACCTGGAGCATTACCCCAAAGGCTGTCAGAGTAACAAATACTGATTTGGCATCCCCAGGTTTCTAAGGAATCATAGATTTGTTTCCTAATTGGTAATATTTCCTTTGTGCTAACTAAGCTTCTGGTTATGCAAAGTAAGATCAAGTGAGTTCTAGATTTCAAGCAAAGGAAGCAGGAACCAACACATCCTCTATTGCTTTTACTTCTTATTATTACTACTCCTCATTTTAAGCATCTGAAATGTTGTTTATATCACTGCCCAGGTGCCAAAGTTTTTAAATAGCTGCTTATTTGTCCTGTGGCAAATGGAGGTCTTCAGGCTTCTCTGAGTGCTTTTTCCTCCTCCATTCCCAGTAGGCTGAGATGTGTACAAATAAGATACACAAATGTGTAACACAAAAATGCTTTGGAAGAACATTGTGTTTAGTAAAGCAAATGGCCTGACTTTGGGCAATTGGTTATTGCAGGAGGCCTGTGAAGCCCCACCAAGGGAGGTATTTTACAGGTCTATAAAAAAATAGACTTTGATTTGGAAGGAGCTGGGAAACACCTTGTGTCCTCCTTCTGTTACAGCCTAGAAGTGGAGCCTGCCTGTGAATTGCCTTTTTTATCTGGAGTCAATGACCTCAGTGATGTGGCCAGACTGTAACTTTCTTTGGCCTTCCAAAATTTTTCAGCAGTAATTTCCTTGCTTAATTTCTCCAACGATTATATTGACACTATATTGATTATTCCAGGCTTCTGCTGGTTGCTGGCAGAGCTGAGAATTGCACATACTGCTTTTAAGGGTGCTACGATGGTCTTACTCTTTCTATGAATGATACTGTTCACTGTGTTTGGACAGGTGAGTGCCATTCACTGTGTGAGGAAAGGTACAGTAAGAAGGCTGATCTTGGCTTCAAGTAAATGAAGCTTCATTTTCTAGCTATAGGAAGAAAAGCTGAAAATGTTTCTAAAGATCTTTTAAAGAAAAACTTGATCCTGCAAAAGGAAGCTGGAGTCCAAAATAGAAAGTCAATGGGAATTTTGCCATGGGGGGTGTGTGTGGGGGGGAAGTCTTGGGATGGACTGTAAACTTCCAACCTGCTCTCTGGGTTTGAGAACTTATTGTGTCTATGGTAAGTATTTCCTCACTGGCTACATGCTTTTAAATGCTGTGGTGGGAGAAGTGGATTTGAAGCAAACATTTTAAATATTCATGGTCTTGTGTAATTCTTGGTATGTTGACAGAGCAGTAATGAAAGGCTGTTTCAGCTGACCAGTTGGCATATAGATAGAGAATGTGCATGTGGTAAGGAGATCTGCAATCAATTACCATCCAACCACAGACTGGCTGCAGACAAGACAATTATTCTGTGCCTCAGTTCCCTAATTCTAAAACAATGATATTCCTTTGTCTGACTTGTCTACTTAGATGAGATGCTCCTGAGGGCACTGATTGTCTCTTATAATATTTTTTGTTTTATCAGTTAATACAAAGCAGCTCTGATTATCCAAGTGCTACTGGAATTGTATTGTTCCTAATCAGAAGAAGTGGTTAATTAGTCATTTGTTATCTCCGGGTTTCATTTTTGTTTATCTAATCTTGGAAAAAAATGCTTTATTCTTGGATAACAACATTGCATGGTACTTTTGGAAAACTGTCTCACATGATGTCTTTATTTTTCTTTAATCCTACTCCATCAAAATACAAAAATGTCAGCAATGGTAGTCCAAATTCCCATACTAGACCATGCAGACAATTTTTTTCTTAGATGAAAAATTGTGTTATAAAAAAACCACATATGATTACCACTGCAGAGCTCTTTCATTGCCAGT